GCACAGGTTGGCAGGCAGGTTTGCGAATCAGATAATCAGTTAAATAAGGAAACACCTCGCGTAGACGAACATGTAGAAAATCAAGCGCTTCAGCTTGCTTGCGAGTATGCACGAAAATTCCTTTCCATGCACATGCTAAGCATAAAAATGCATTGCCTGCCTGAGCTAGTTGGTGCTGTGCTGACATGACATATTTTGTTGCAAAACAAAGCCACTCAGAAGAACAGCAGGAAAATACTGCTAAATTGAGTCGAAAGCCATACGAAACCCCAGATGTCCACGGAAGAAGCTGCGCCAAGCCACACTGCCGGCTGGCGACTCATCACGAGTGCCAAAGCCGCGGCCCAATGTCCCACGGCCTGGCAGAAACCACTCCAAAAATCAAAGCTGGAGCGTCATGCTCTGGTTCTGTAGGGTCATCGGGAAAAGGCCATCGAGGAGTCAACGTCAAGCCATTGTCATTTTCTGCTCGGCCTCGAGTGCACAGAGCAAGATGTGGTGGCCAGCATCGTCCTGCCGAGCGGTTTGGTGCAGTACGCGCTTGGAGTCGGACCTTGACGCGCTACGGACGAAGTTTCATCTCAGGAACAAATTGAAACAAGCAGATCCGAAGCTCAACCCAAGTATGCAGGCCAAGAACGCCATCCGCCTCATCATTGAATCATTCAGCTCAACAAGTCCATCGGGTTAGTCAGGGATTATTGATGATATGTGTTCGGGTCCATCTTTTGTGATTTTGGTTGCATTTCACTTGCGGATTTGCCTATGTTTTTAAGGCTTTCGGATTCCAGTGATATTCTTTTCAAACTACGCACGTTGGTTTTCTCATTTCGGGCTGTTTTGGGGCGGATAGGATGCACGATGAAACGGAGTTACGAGAACATCCAACACATCCAACACATCGAGGGGACTGGAAGGGCGTCGCCTCGGATTGTGCTGTCACGGGCATCCACTACAGACATACAGTAACAAGTACACGAGCAGCTGACCAGGGTTTTCCTCAGTTGCAGTGATCCGACTGTTGAGGTGCAGAGCCCACGGCAGCCAGCACGAGTGGAAGGTTCTTACCTCACATTCCGTCACCCAGTCCACCACAACGTTTTGCCCTGCTGCCCATGCGCCCAGCGCCAAAGCCTTCGAACAGGTCTCGCGGGCTAGAGGAACTTCGAAGCGAGGGACAGCGGAAAATTGCAGCAAAAACCAGAGCTCCCCATGGCCAGTAGTCTTCTATAAACACTACAAGCCCAGTTCCAGCGGTACCAGAAGCCTGTGCCAGCGAAAAGTCTTGCAGCTGTGCCTGCTGGTCTTGACTTTAGAAGTGGGTTTGAAGCAGCCTCTAACGACCGAATGGTCTTGGGAATAATCAACCCTGCCTGGCGCCAACGACTGGCCCTCTGGCAGGCAGCAAGCGCCGCATTCAGACCTGGTTCGGGACTCCGAAAACTCAAAGTTCTCCTTCGTGCTTTCAAGCTCCGAAGATTCCATGCCCAGGCTCTGCTGCTAGATGCAGCTGAAGCACAAACTTGATTGCACCGGGTGGAGGTAGCCGGCATTCTCGGCGAATGAGGGCTTCATGGAGAACTGAAGGTGCTGCTCACCCATGTGGATGCGGTCTCTGAAAAAGCCGGGTGACGACATGAAGATGCCCACTGCCTGCAGCCACCTCGTGTGAGTTTCCGTTGAGAGCTAAGCATTGCGTAGCACTGGCTGCAAGTCGCTGACCTCCAATCTGCCTCTGTGTTGCTGGCAAGCCACTGTGAAGCTTTGGCGCAGGCATCGATCGCAGCGGAGAAGCTAAAGGCATTGCTCTCCACGGAGAGATCCTGGTCTTGGACATGTCCACAGCTAAATTTCTTGAAAGCTGGGCTGCGTTGGGTGTGGAGCACTACCATTGGCACAGCTGGAGTCAAAGAAATTTCAGCCAACACTTCATTCACTTTATCTCAACCTACCGGTGGGAGTTGACTAGAGCCGCACAAGACCAAGAGCCATTCGAAGGTTCTCCAGGATGACCACTGGAGCAAAATCAACCGTTGAAAGCCCGTTGCCTCCATCTGATCCAAAAGCCTTGTCGCGACCTGCTGACTGCACTGACTTGCGAGGGACGGGCTTCCAGATGGCATCAGTTGCGGTACAGCCACCACAGAGTTGCTCGTTGGCGTCGCTTGAAATGGCTTGGGCATCAGCAGCACCATCACCAGCAGCACCAGAGCACCAGCATCACCGTGATCGTCTGCACCATCAATGTCATCATCACGCTCTTGCTATCGCCATCGCCATGACCATAGCCATAGCCACGCCTTGGTCATTGCCATCATCATTGCCGACATCATCAGCGCCAGCAGCCAGGCGACATCATCATCACCACCACCACCATCATCATCGTCAGGGTGATCTCCACAGCCATGCCACTGTCATACGGTGACCAAGACACCCAGTCCGAGAGCAGTCCGAGCCTGCCAGCGGTGGGCTGCCCCGGCAGCGCGAATCGTGCAGCTTAGGGCTACCTCAGCTTGACACTCGCAGCTCGCAGTCCCGTGGCTAAGTGGTCACTTCAAGGTTTCCCTGCTTTCGGCAGAGCCCAAACCACGAAGCGCCGAGCCGCCTCGCTGAGTGCCACTCCCGGCGACCTGGGGAAGACAACGTCTTCAACTTTCGTAAGCGGTTCAGTCTCTCATGTCTCTCGTCCGGACTCGCAGCTTCCAGCATCAAATTCCGCAAGTCGAAGTGCTCGGCGCCGGGAACCTGCAAGAAACCAGCCGTGTAGATCTAAGTTCCCGGCTGAATCAAGTCCAACGCCTGTCCGCGTGTCTTCCATGCTAGATTCTGCTAGATGCGTAACATTGCATGGCCTGATTTGCATGGTGTCTTCAACAGCGTGTTGGGCATCAGCCCTGCCTCGGACCACCGTAGGCCAGCACCGAGTGCACGGCAGCACGCAGCGCCTCTGTAGACTTTTTGCCTTCTTTCAAAAAATCATCTTGTTCAGATGCATTTACGGACTTCGGTCTGTGGATCCGCCGATCCACAGATCACATCAACAAAGTAGTAGCGAGTGGTATGCGTAATGATGCTAAGTACAAAAGAAAGAAGAATCCCAACAATAGTTATAAGAAGAAGAATAAAAATCTAATAAGCACTGCTATCTTCATGATAACCGTAATCATAATAATGAGAGAAAGAAGAATAGTAGCAATAATAATGATACTTTGAGCCCGAAAGCATTGTTCCGCCAAGTTGCACATGAAATGGTCCAAAGCATCCGGAGCTCGTGGGGCCAGCCTTAGGAAGTTGCCACTGGGACTAGACATGATACATCTAATACATAGTGTGGGCCTTATACTGCTGTATTACACCATACTATACTACACTCTTTTGTACAATACTATACTACACTACACTATTCTATTCTACTATACTATACTATACTATACTATACTATACTATACTATTCTATACTATACTACTATACTTTGTTTTGTAGACAACTGTGCTATATTGTCTTGGGCTTGTTACCACATTGCAAGGTGTTCAACATTGTTTTGTGTGTCAAGATTTTGCTTCATGCGGTCTGACATCTTGCTGGTTAGCTGTGTGCATTTGTGAGTGCGTGTCTGTGCATCGTTACATAATTGCATATACAGAGACGCACCTTCCCGATTCTTTACCCACTTTTTGCTGGCCGACGTGCAACTCTTTGCATCCAGCACTACCAAAGCAAAAGAAATGTCTTTCCGTGCGAGCCCAGGTTCGCCAGGGCTCGACGCCAGGCGGCTGCCGAGGCACAGGCGCCCATGGTCGCACGGCAGCTCAGTGAGTCCTGCGCGTTGCACAGACCAGCTGCCCAGTCTTATGTAGCATCGAAGTTGTGGCAGCCTTTGAGCAGCTCTCTCAGAATCCAAGGCCACCAGTCCGGCTCGAGGAAGGCCTCTCTCATTTGCCTGCACGTGAGCACGAATGAATGCCCGGACTGCAAGGGCTAAGTTCGCATGTCCCCAGCACCAAGCACTCCCTGCAGCTCTGGGCATCCTGCGCACACAGCTTGCCGCCCAGACACCCAAGAAGATTCAACGCGACAGGCCAAACCCCTGCTGCCTGGACATGGCCAGCTTGGTAGACAAGATGTTGCGGGTTCACCACTGCTCCGTGGACTTTCGGCTTTGACATGTGGTGTGGGTTGTCCTCGTACAGGCTCCTGGACTTCGCAGTGGGGAGAATGAGGCATCCCCCTAACAAAAAAACTGAAAGAAAACCATAAGGTCATCATAAGGTCAAAGGTCTTGGTAGATCCGTTTCCAAAACTCCATGTTCAAGTGAAGGCCTCACAAGCCGCGAGGACTGCATTGTAGCTGATCCTGTCCTGCAGGCTTACTGAAAGGTCTGAGATACTCATTCTGCCGCTTGCCAAAGCAACACGGCAGGTGAGGAGCTGCAGCAAACAAATGAGCCCAACATGCACACGCAGTTGCGAGCCCGTGTTGATACCAAAAACTGTGACAGTGCTAGTTTGAAGTAGCTCTGATCGGCCAGGTGTACCTGCCGCCTTGGTGCTTTGAGGTTGCCCTGCCGTCACCAGTGCACTTCGATACTCGGCGAGTAGCACAAGTTAGTTTTTGCCCAATACCACATCCCGTCCGCACGGCTGGTCAGCTCGTCCAGCAGTTGCAAGGCCTGTGCTTTGTAGCACAAATCGCCGATGTGTGGAACACAGAAGGGAGCAAACCTCCAAACTGCTCTGAGAACGCGTAGGTCGAACGGATATGCTCCGAAGGCCTGAATCCAGTCATCGCCGCATGCAGCCAAGGCAGAGTTGTAGCCTCGGACGCTTACGCAAAACCCAAAGGATTAGGGAGTCCTCTGGGGCCTAGGGCCATGCAGGAACGCTGTGTCACACGACACAAAATTTTGTGTCGAGAATTCGGCCACCGCCTTGGCTCTTGGCTTTTCTGGGATAAGAATTCCGACGGCGATGAAGCCAAAGCAAGGAGCTGACGGCATCCGGTTCCGGAATCTGACGGAGGAGCACGAGGGCCACCTTGCGGGTTGCAGTTCTTCCTTGCAGACTGCTCCATGATGCAACAAAAGCCTTTGCAGACATTCTCAGGAAGTTCCGACTTAAGCGATCTCGACCACCGGGGCTGTGTCAGGCTGATGGAAATGGAGCATGAACCGTCTTACAGCAATTGGAGCCACGGCGAGTCAAAGGAATTCTGCTTGATGGCACGGGCAGACTGTAATTAAGTACGACAGCAACCCCCGACTTCGAGCTCAACCTCAGACTGTGCGATTGCTGGCCTCACGCTTCAAGGCCTTTGCACAGGAGTTTAGAGCCACGTTGAAGGCTCGCCTTCCGAGAAAATCATAGGCTCCGTCTGACGCACATCGGGCTGAGGCATTTGTCGAAGATGCTACTACCACGATGCTGTGGCAAACAGGCTGCAGATCGCATGCTTTTCATTCGACGAATTTAACTGTGCACAGCGCTAACGTGAAGCCTCTAATCGCGCCGTGGTGCCTGTCAGGGCAGGGCAGCCTTCTGAACAAGGCCAGGGACCACTGCCATTGGTCCGTACACGCACGCATGGACGCAGTGTAACCTTGCATGGCAGATGAACTTAGGCAATGACAGTTCAACCAGCCTCGAGTCACTTTGGCTCAAACTTCCAGACTTCAAACCAACCTCGATGCCTCAATCGAATGAGCAAAGCCTCCTTGAAAGCTCTGGAAAATTTGAGGCGCTTTTCTCATTGGCCATCCCACGCTCGTCAGCTTCAAAGAGCAAGGACAAGGCCTTCCAAGGCGGGGAAGCACAAGCCAAAAAAACGACCACCGAAGACAGAATTGGATCTCAGAATTACTCCTCGCTCATTTTCTGCTAAAACGTGCAGGGGAACTACTTCCAGCCTTCTGCCAGCAGCTGGAACCCTCGAAGGCACTGAGGGCCTGCGTGTAGCCTGAGAAACTATGCGGGCATGCCGAGCTCGACTTGCATGTCAACAGGGGAGGCAGTGTACAGATCGCCGCACCCAAAATTGTCTGGCATTCTCGAAATATCGAACTGGGAATCTTATACGTCGTCGTGTTCTGTGCCGTTCTCTGCTTTTGTCTTTTGGGCGCGGCATTTTGTCCTTTGCTCCGAGCCACCTTCAGCACCATCACACTCTCTCTCAGTCTGTCCCGGTCGTAGTCGTAGTTTCTCTGCTTTTTTTTCCTTTTCGAGTTTCTGTCATGTTCAAAGACCAACACGGGTCTGCTTGAGTTTACTACAGATTGAGCAAATTGAATCGCTAGCCCCCTCGATTTTTGCACGCCGCTTGTCGTGCTTGCCCGTTCTTCAGATTCTTCAGGAGCGCGAAGGGGCTCAGGGCATGGGCTCCAATTTCCTCCCCGTTGTGGTGGCATCGGTTCTTGCACATGTTTTCTTCTCCCTCTTGCTTGCTCTTCTCCCTCTCTCTCTCTCTCTCCCTCCCTCCCTCTCCCTCTCCCTTCCTTTCGCCAGGGCTGTGGGCCGGGGTTTCCCCCCAGCCCCCGCGCGCGTGTGCCCCGGACCGTTATGGAAGGGGATTGGAAAGACTGAAAACACCACCAAGGCCGCAACGCCTGTTGACCGGAAATAAAGCAACAGCGAGAAAAGACAGTCTGGTCAAAAGGTTCTCCGGTGGTGTGAAAATGAGATGCCCGCATGAGCCAGGGTTCAAGCACGAGCAGTACAACATAAATCAAAGCCTGGCGAGCAGAACAGGAAAGGGGCCTGACCCCCTGGATGGATGCAACAAATGGAAATGAAAGTACTGACCCCATGAATTACAGAAAGTGCGAAACTATGGTACAAAGCCTCAGAGAGGAGGCAAGGTTCGTGGTACATGGGAAGCTCCAGCGGCCCATCTGAACTAGAATACAGTTGAAAGACAGGGGGATGACCCCCTAAATTGGTGCCTAGCTAAGTTGGAGAGAGGTGCCGTATGGACAGAGATTTGCACAGCAATACGGCCAGTACTGCTTCGCTCGAATATGTTTCAGAAGTAGACAGCGACTCGCTTCTTCGCACGACTCTCATCTGGCCTCCACTAAGGGGTCAGTGTTGCTTGAGGCTTGCGAGGAGTGGTGGCTTGCGGTGTGTTGCCCCGCGCCCGCTGCAGTGCTTGTGCGTCCGCTGCTCAGTTGGGCTCGTTGGGCTGCCACGATGCATGTGGTCCCGCCATGGACCGTTTGTGGTTAGTTGTCCTGCTGTGTCTTTGGTGTGCCCTCCTGTGGCCGTTCCTATGCCTGCGGCTGCTGACCGGTCCGGGTGCCAGTGTGGGTAAAAGGCGCTGGTTGAGCAGTGCTGCAAAAACTACTATGCGCTCTCGTCTGCTGACGTCTTGATGTCAATGTGGGTTCTTCCACTGACAGTGGGTTCTTGCGATGGTGGTTGTGTGTGGGTGTGTGTGGTGGGACGTCTGTGGAGCTGCTGGCGGGTGGGTGTGGGTGTGGGTGTGGGTGTGGGGGTGTGGGGGTGTG